TGGCTCCTTCTACAAGCAGTAGAACATGCTATAGAATTGTACCTTAACAGCCCCCCCCCCCATAGTCACAATCTGTTCTGCAGAGGGTGAGTGTATGTTGTTTTCTTTACGATCACAATGCATTTGCAAATGCTTTCTAAAGGAAGATGATAGATTCAGTAAAATACAGTGAGATTTTTGCTCAGTTGTGAGGTATTTTGAGAAAGAAACCGCATCAGCTAAAATACAGACGTCCAGTCAATGTGGTAGTGAAGAATTTTACTTGAAGCACATGTACATAAATGAGAGCCACGGGCTGCCATCCAATCATGTGACAAGCAAATCAAACTACCAGGGAGCCTTGTATAGCACTTAAGCTGGCTTTGCACCTTTCTCTGAAAGGCAGCAGTGGGGTCTCTCAAAGCCCTTTACCCTTGTTTTTATACCGTGAGACAGAATTTGATGAGGAGCTAAATCAACTCTAAGCATGAAGCTGAACGTTCCGTACCATTAATAGTATCCAGTTTGGAAAGCTAGAAAATGCAAAGTAAGTAACATTGAGTTTTATGTAGTTTGGGTGGGGAGTGGAATCGTATGAGTGCTCCATTTGGCTTTCAAAGAATTACAAATTCTAAAGCTGAAAAAGGATCTGTGTAAAGATTCCCCAGGCCAATGCTCCCTGAAGCAAAATTATTTATACTTGAAACGCTTAACACTGTAGCTCTTATTGTGTAAGACCTGAGAAATGTGACATACTTGCTGCGGAAGGTTGTAAACAGTGAGCCTGCACAAAGATCAATATTCGAATCAGTGCCTTTTAAACTTATTCTTCAACGATCTGGAATTACAAAGGCACACTGAAGTGGTCAGGTTTGCTGATGACACCAAATTATTTAGGGTGGTTAAAACAAAAAGGGATTGAGAGGAGCTCCAAAAGGGCCTCTCAAAACTGTGAGAATGGACATTAAAATGGCAACTGTAGCTTAGTGTCAGTAAGCATAAAGTGGGCATCCCAGCTCCATGTATATATATGTTGAGCGAAGCTGAGCTGGTGGTGATGGACCGAGAAAGAGATCTTGGGATTTTGGTAGACGGCATGATGTAAATGCCAGTTCATTGTGCAGCTGCTATAAAAAGGCCATTTCTATGTTGAGCCTAATTTGAAAAGAAATTAACCATGAAGCAAATAATGTCATACTGCCATTATGTGAATCTGTGATGTGACCACAGTTGCAATACTGCATACAGGTCTGGTCACCGCACCTCAAAAAGTTACTGCAGAGTTGGAAGAAATGTAGAAAAGAGCAACTGAAATACTCAAAGGGCTGGAGGAAACATCCTGGCTGGCCATGCTTGGTGTGAACAAAATGCTGGGCTAGATAAGCTTTTGTATGACCCAGTGTGGCTCTTCCTTTGAACAGAGTGGGAGAGTGACACTAAACAAGTAGAATAGACTTCCCCTACCTCGGGCTTTCCAGGTGAGTTGCAATAAAACTCTCAAAACCCCTAGCCAGCTTTGTTAATGGTGATAGTGGGAACTGTAGTCCAGACTATCTGGAAGGTACAAAGTTCAGGAAGAGTGAAATGGAACAACCCTAGAACAGGGAATGAAATGGTACAATTGTAACTGCCCCTCCAGAGGCTTCCCTTCCCAATTTTTCAGACATCTGCAAGGAACACCCCTGTGTTTTCTCAGCCACTAAGAGCCGTAATGCTTTTAAACTAAATCCAGAGCTTCAGCTCTCAAGATTTTGTCCTAACCACCACCAGGTTTTACACTGTCTGAAAAGCAGGCAGATAGCAAGGTCACATTCTTTTCAGTAGTAAGACTAGTACCGGATTCGATGACAAACCATAAGCAGCACCTGGACAGATCCTTATGGAAACCAGGAAAGCAGGCCTCTCCTCTAATATTTCTGCTGAAAAGTGTCATTTTATGGTGTGGCACAAATACTTTGTGTTCCTTCTAGCATCTTAGCACTAGGCGTTTGGAATTACTAAAGTAGTTTGGGCTGACATGGCATTAAGGGCTGCTATGGACCAGACGTACGTATTAATCCTTGGGTTGAGAGTTCAGAAAACAAACGGAATGGTAAGGAGGCAAGCCTGAAATATTTTGGTAAGGACAGCCAGAGATGTTCTGGAGGGGAGAGGGTTCCTGGAATTTACCCTGGGAATGGAGGGCGTGTGTGAAAGCACAGAGCATGGGCTACATTCAGGGCATGTGTAGACAACTGTGAAGGGGAACCCAGCTAGTCAGGGCCAGTAGATGGAAAGGTAGCTTTAAGTGAGCATGCCTGGAAGAATGAGTGCCAGAGGCTTCCTAAATAAGGGCACAGAGAAGGAGAAATTTAAAGCAAAACCAGCCCTTACACATGACGCATAAAGCCCCACCAGAAGCAGGGACTAGCCCATGATCCAGGCCACATAACAAGCGGATTTGGAGGGCATGTGAGAAAGGCCCCTCTTTAGGAAGTCATCTGGAATCCTCTGAGCCTGGGAACCAGGCAGTGTTGAGTGGCAGCCAGGGAAAGCCGTCCGGATGACTGCTGCTGACGGAGTCCCTTTGGGGGGGTGTGGGCTGAGAAATGGCTTACACTGGGGGGCGGGGGGGGGGGGGAAACTCTCATCAGTTCAGATCAGATCCTGTTATTCATCCAACTACAGTCTTTTCGTCAAAACAGCTTTCCATATGAGCGCACCCCTCTCCATCCCCCTGCCCAGCCCTGTTTTCTCCAAAGGCAAGGAGGACCACCCAGCCTCTCCCTCTTTGGACGCCAGTCTGCCATTAGCCGGCCCCTGTGCAGCAGCCTAGCAGAAGGAGGGGAAGGGCACAAGCCCCCCAGCTGCCCCCGGCCCCTCTTGTGCTCACACTTCCGTAGCTGGTCTCCTCTCCTGCAAAGGGCCAGTGCCCCTCCCCTTGCCATGCCTGGACCCATTTTCATCTTATATTAATGTTATTTGTCATCTAGGAGGCTTTCTGTTGGGAAAGAATGCAAAGTGAAATGAAAGTGTTAGTGACACATTTCTCCGTCCTTCAAAGAATTCAAAGTGATCTGGATCCATCCACTTCCTTATGTTTGCTCAGAACAACCCTGTGGAGGTCAGGTTGCATCTCAGTGATGAGGCCAAGTGGGGAGGGGGTCATAATTCAGTGGCAGAGCACATATTTAGCCTGCAAATGGCACCAGGTCCTATCCCTGGCATTCCCAGATAGGGCTGGAAAACTGCCCTGCCTGAGATGCTGGAGAACAGCTGCCAGCCGGTGTCAGCAATACTGGGCTGGGCAGACCAAGGGGCTGACTCAGCAGCAGGCAGCTTCCTGTGCTCGTTCGGTAACCTTTGCAGTTAAAGAGAGATTTGAATCAAGACCTCATTGCAATAATGGTATAGCCATTTACCTCGTGCATTTTACAATGCGTTGGCTTTGAGCCCCTGCCCACAAGCCCCTGTGTGTCACTTCGCCCCACACTGAGTCATCCTAAGTACTAGCTGCCTTGGACTTCTGGGCACTGTGGGAAGACCTTTCACCCCAAGCTTTTCAATCTTACATATGTTACTGTGTTTGCTATATAGGTTGTGTTGATGCTATTCTCTGCCTTTGCTTTTATTCTTTTGCCGTTTTATTCCATTTTTATTTGATCTTCATGTTGTGCTTAGCAATTTTAGGGTGGATTTTTAAAATTGCAAATTTTGTTTTGGGGCTGGGGTGGGAGTCTATAAAGGTTGAATAAGTTTGGGTGCAATCCTGTGCATTCTTAGGCAGAAAAATGCCCACAGTTCCCAGCATGCTCCAGCAAGCACTGCTGGTTAGGGAATTCTGGGAGTTGCAGGACTTTCTTCCTGTCTATAAGGCACAGGATTGCATCCTTAGCAAACCAACAAGCATATTTAGGCTTCTACTTAGCACAAGAGTGGCAGAGCATGTGGGCTGTTGCTGGAAGTTTGGGATTTCTTTGTCCCCCCCCCCCCCCCGCCGCCATTTTCTCTCTCTCTGGTCTTCAACACATTGTTTTAGACAGTGTTGTGCCTTGCAGTATTCCCTTCAGTGTTGTGTTGAGGTTATACCTGGGTTGCAGCCTCCATAGTTTATGCTATAATTCTCCTGATGGGATGGGATATGAAGCTGCCTTGAACCAGGTGAGACCACTGGCCCATCTAACCTCCTCACTGGCTGTCCAGTTCTCTACATCATGGGGACAAATAGCATATTATTCAGAAACACCCACAAATGGATGTCCTGGTGCTTTTTAAAACTTTTAATGCACTGGATGCCACATTTGATCAAGCAGTGCAGTTGGGGGAAGGTGAGTTTAAAATAACCCCCATTTACCAACCCAAATGCTCCCCAGTGGAGGAGGAGTGAGGTGGAGGAGATACATTTTCAATGGTGGGGCCAACGGCAGTTGAAAGAAAGGGAATGTCGATCCCGAGAAGCAGCGCAGGGGAAAGTGCTAAGCCTGTCTTCCCCAGCCAAGTGTCCTTCTGATATTTTGGACTACAAGTCCCTGAGCCCCAGCCGGCATGGTCAATGTTTGGGGTGCTGGGAGATGTAGTCCAAAATATCGGTAAGGTGCCACGGTGGAATGGCTGGAACAAACTTAATCCTCTCAGCACCACTGCTCGGATAACAACAACAGCAGCCACAAAAATGGCAGAGGATGCAGATGGGGGACTCCTGCTCAATGTACACCAAAAGCAAGTCTTTCCAGATACAGTACATGCTGTGTCAGCTGAGTCATGGTTTTCTCTTCTAAAAGCTCTTCTGGCACAGCCAATCTACACTCTGACCTAGTTGCCGGTTAACCAAGGGAAGGAGCAATTTCCTTAACCTTGGTAAAGCCTAGCCCTGTTAGCAGAGGGTGAGTTGTGGAGCACGGCAGCATCACCACCGGTGGGGAGGCAAGCACCACCATCAGAATAGAAAAACCCTGAAAAACATCCAGTGCTTCACCTGATGCTCTTGTCTGATGGACCCTAAACTTGTATTTTCTTTCTTTCTTTCTTTCTTTCTTTCTTAGTTCTCGCCCAAAGTGCCAAAAAATCCTTGCGATAATCATCCTTCCATAATGGGGGCCGTGCCCAGGACATTTCTGCCATGCCTTTGGCTCCTAGCACTTCCTGTCCAGGTGTGCGTAGCTCAGCTGACCGTGCCGTCACCACCACCTGCACCACGAGGGTGTGGGAAGGACTTGAAATCCATTTATTACAACCTCTGCGACCTGTCCGCAGCCTGGGGCATTGTGCTGGAGGCAGTGGCCAGCCTTGGGGTCGTGGCCAGCTTTGTCCTCACAGTCGTGCTTGTGGCCAGTGTGCCTTTCATCCAGGACTATCGGAAGAAGAGCTTAATAGGGACTCAGACTTTCTTCTTGTTGGGCACCTTTGGGCTGTTCTGCTTGACCTTTGCCTTCATCGTCAAGCAAGATTTTTCCACGTGTGCCTCCCGCCGCTTCCTGTTTGGGGTGCTCTTTGCCATATGCTTCTCGTGTTTGGCAGCCCACACCCTCAGCCTCAATTTCCTTGCCCGGCAGAACCATGGTCCTCGAGGCTGGATCACCTTCTGCATGGCGTTGCTCCTTGTCTTAGTGGAAGTCATTATCAACACGGAGTGGCTTATTATCACTGTGGTGAGGAGTGACGGAGCATCAAAGGATCCCTGCCGTGTGGACAATGAGGACTTCGTCATGGCACTCATCTACGTCATGTTCTTGCAAGCAGCTACCTTTGTTGCTGCTTGGCCTGCCTTGTGTGGACGTTACAAGCACTGGAGGAAACACGTCATCTTTGTCCTCATCACCACCTCCTTCTCCATGGCCATATGGATAGTGTGGATTGTTATGTATGTTTACGGCAACCAGCAAGAAGGGGGACCAGCGTGGGATGACCCCACGATGGCTATTGCGCTAGTTTCCAATGCCAGTGTCTTTGTCTTCTTTTACGTCATCCCTGAGATTTCTCAAGTGATCAGGCCAGGACCACAGCAGGCCTATGAGGATGATGTGTACCCTTCCCGGGGGGTGGGATATGAGACCATCCTCAAGGAACAGAAAACCCAGAGCATGTTTGTGGAGAACAAGGCCTTCTCGATGGATGAACCTTCTTCAGGTAGGTCTTGGCATGTGAGCTGTGGCAGGGCACGGAGATGGGTGTTTGGGGAAATGTATCCTGCATGAAGTTGCGTTATCGAGGGAAAGGCATCTTGTGGTGTAACTGCTGAAAGGGCTCCATCAAGTTCTTTCATAGATATGAAAATCACAATTCATAATATCATTGTGTTTGCCCTTCCTTATATTCCACGTTCTTGCAGCCCAATATAGCCAGTGGAAAACAAATGTGTACAGAAGGGCCCAGTGGCTATCCAAGCGATTTTAAAACAGACTTGCCTTTACAACCCGTTTGAAAACCTGGACTGATGGTTCCATTCAGAATGGAATTTCACAGATGGGGACCACGGTCCCAAAATGGCCCGGTTCCCTTGTAGCCCTAATTGAATGGTTCTTGCGCGCAGACACCCAAGCAGGGCCTTTGAGGCTGTTCTCAAAGGGCAGGCAAGTTCGTATTGGTGGTGGTGGTGGTCCTCCATGTAACCAAGTCAAATGTATTCATTTGGACCAGAGGCTTAGATGCTAGCTCAAGGGAGAGCAAGTCACGGTCTTCCAGATGTTATGGCTTGCAGGTTGCCCACCCCTGAACTAGAGCATGGCGGGTGGCATGAAATTCCTCAGTGATTTTGGTAATAACATATGTTTCAGGACTTGATCTGAGGAACGGCAAGTATTTCTGTAAGTTGTCTGGTGTCCTTTACTTCCATAATGCCACAGTAAAGGGACAGAGATGATAAGATGAAGTTCAGGAGGAGGAATCCAAATGCCATTTTTCTAGGATTTGCAAAAGTTTGTTTGTGCATATATTTATTTATTGCATCTGTATGCTGCCTCATAGCACAAGAACTGTATGGGGTTAGCACTGTGTATCACCTGGTATGAGTTGAGAAACAAAGCAGTTTGTTTGCACATAAAAGACACGCACTTCTTCTCACAAATCTTACCATATTGGGATTACCAATGTGTGAGGAATCAGTTGCGGGGATGGGAATCCATTGATTTCCTTGGTTCGGCTCCCCAAATTCTGGCCCACTTTCTCTCCAAGTGTTTGCATGGGTGTCCAGCAGGAAGCAAGGCCATGGGTGTCCAGCAGGATGCAAGCATGGCCCCATGACTTCTGCTTCCACACGTGTGACTTGCAGGTTTTGTGTACTTTGCATACTTTGTGCAAAGAAGCCACTAGTCATTCTGGAGCATTTGTGAACTTGAAGTCAGCCCAGCTTACTTCCCAGCCAGGGCCAAGCATAGGAAAGAATTCCAGGAAGAACAAGAGAGCCAGGTTCAGTCTGATCTTTGCATCCCAAAGATGCAAAGCTTTTAGAATATTAAATTAAAATGAAAATAATTGGGAATGCTTTTTTAAAAAAAGTTGTTTGATTCTTTTTGCCAGTAGTCTTGTAACAGGATGGCTGGAAGGGGTCTTTGTGTATGTCGGCTGCATTAGCTTGAGTGTGCTGTTTCTAAAAAATTTTTTCAAGAGGCTTACTGGCCATAGCTCATTTCCAGAAGGTTCAAAAAGTGGTCCATCAGCCACGGCATCTCATAAGCCAACCTGAGATTTCCAAATGAAGTATAGGATATGCAGTACAAACAGATTAAAAGGTGCTTTCCCAGGGTAAGGAGAAGGCATTTTCTGCATCGCTTTCTGTACTGAAATCCTCACCCAAACACTCTCCAACCTGTCTAACCTCTATTCTTGGCTGTCAGCTTCATATCAAAGATTCTACCTCAATACATCAGAGAATGTCAGAGGTTCATGTTGACTCACCTCATCTTCTCACAGTATGGAGAAGAGAAGCACTTAGTTACTTGTGCACATGTGAAGACGCGGCTGTGCACACAGGTTTGCCAGCTTTTTACTTCCCCTGCTCCCGTGCCTTTAAGCAGGAGATTATAGTATTGTAGGGGAGGAAGCTTTGCTTCCTTATTTTCAAACCGATATGAAAGGCACAGGAACACAGATGGCCCCAAAGGCAGGAACCTTGCTTACATATTCAGAGCCAATGAAAATGAAAAGCATGCTGGAGAATTACATTTACAGCTCGAGCAGAGGCAAGTTTTTCTGAGTCTAATAGATCTTACTCTCTAGTAAAGGGAGAGTATCTACATAGGATTGTACCCTAGACAGCTGATAGACAAGCATGACTGGGAAGGAAATCTCTTTCGAAGAGTATGCTGCTTTGCTGAGCTTCAAAGCTTTAACATGGGTTGGGGAACACATGGTCCTTCAGATGATGCTGGGCTTTAGCTCCCATGAATACCAGCAAACCCTGCCCACAGTCGCTTATGATGGGAGCTGGAGTTCAGTAACTTCCAGTTGGAGTTCATCTGGAAGGCCACACAGTCCCCAGTCATGCTTTAGGAACAAGAGACCTTCTTGGATGTTACTTGGTTTCATCCTTGAGAGCACTGGGCATTTTACTTAACACTCACATGCCTTCTCGACTCCTCCTAAATCACGAAAGGAGCAGACTTGCTCTTTCCATCTAGCAGGGAAGAGAACATGAGAGAGCTGCCATACAGGGTCTTCTGTGCTTCTGAGTGAAAAGATGTCTTTTTAGACAGTTTTGGAGGCATTAATCCAAAGGGCTCCAGAAGAACAGAAAAAGGAGAGGAAGATGCAAAGGTGGTGAACTCTTGGAAGTGGCGGTACAAGCCCCTAAGAGGAACATGTTTTGGTTCATTGATTTGATTTTCATTGGGAAAAAAAGTCAGACCATATTGGTAAAAAATGCTTGTTTAGAGAGACCACTTATTTTGGTTAATCCTGCTACTTAGTGTTTTGATGATGTAATATCCAGCATTTTCGATTTCATAACTTTGGGATTTAGACACATCTGACAGGTTGGTTGTGGTACCTTGAATTTCCCTGGAATGACTTTACAATGTAACTTTGGGTTTTCTTTCCTCTTTGTGATGCCCCCTGAATCAGAATTATGTGTTCAAAAGTTCCCTGTCTTCTTGCTGGCACATTTTCTCATAATGTTCCAAGGAAAGAACATACATTTTCCAACTGCGTTTCAATGCTACTGTGATCAGATGCAAGTTAATAAAAACAGACATGGCTTCAGTCCTAATTGCACTCAGCAGAAAAGAAGTCACAGTGAACTCAATGAAATTAACCACCATTAGAATCAAACTGTTGGTATCCTCTCTGCACAGCAAGAAGCATCACCATAAAAACTCAACATGCAGAACTACCCATAGTTCAACAGTCTATTTAACGGAAATTGCAATGTTGCTCACTAACTCAAAAACATTGAGACTTGGCTATGCTTCCTGTTCTTAGATTACACACCATGGCATTTAAAAATCATTTACATCGTCCTATCTTTTCATGGATTCTCTTCACTATGTACTGATTTTTGTTTGATAGTTCTACGTAAAATGAAAATCAAGGGACCTCCTTTTCCATATCCAGCTCCCAACAGAACTTCACAGATCACACCCTTATTTCAAACACCAGAAACAACCATGCCAGAGTCTTCTTTTAAGAAAAAATTCTAGGAACCTTTGTGGACTGGAAGGTATACATACTGTATTCCTTCAGGAAGCCAAATTAATAGCGTTCATGTCATTGCTCTTCTGCAGAATACAGTCAACCGAGCAAGAGTGGGTTACAGTGCCAGCAAATGCCAGGACTGGCTGTGTGCAACTGATGGCAATGGGTGGCCCATTGCAGGCAGTCCAAAACATCCCCGATGCAGTTCTTGGTGGGAAATAGAATGGGCTAAAACACAGACTTGTTGACTACACGGCTGCCAGGAATTTTTCAACAACAGGCTTTGCTCCTCCAGTCCCATAAACCCTGGAGGACTCTCTTAGGGAAAGCAGTGTGCTCATTAAAATCTACTCTGTCTATAGTTACCCACAAACAAGGTTTTGTTTTATGGCTGGCCTAAAAAAATAAAAGCCCCAGCAGGCTTCTGATGGTCCTTGGAGTCGGGTATATTGATTAGTTACTGCTTCCTGTTTTGCTTGCAGCAGCATAGAAGAAATATAGCAATCGCTTCTTTGTGAGGCTGTCAGTGAGCAGAAATGAAGGCTCTTGCAGTCTCCAAGTGGCGTATGAAATGAAGTTTAATATATAATGGAAAGGGAAGCTGAGAGTTAGTTCTCCCAAGCATATTTTCTGTGACGGAATAGCTGCACAAGTATGCCTTTTTTTAGAGTTAAAATGTATTCTGAGTATCAATGTGACGGTTGCCCAAAGCCCATGCAATAATCTGAAGTTACTCCTTTGTTATGGCCCTGCTCCTAAGGCTTGAACAGCGGCCTCTCACACAGAAATGCAGCATGCCAGGTTTTTAATTCTGCTTTCACCAGTTCTGTGCGAAACGTAGTGTGATACATTTCTCTGCCTTGGGGTGCTGTTAAAACTTAAGGAACTGGATGAGTAGAAAGGGGACAATGACAAGACTCAGTATTGGAATGGCATATAAACGCTTAAATAAATAAGCAAGACTATCTAAACATGAGATAATTCTGTGATCTTAAAAAAGTTACATTTGCACAATGATGTAAGCTTGTATTTATTTGTCTTTTAAGTACTAGCCAGAATCTAACTTCTGTGCAAGTTTCTCCATTTGTTTTTTTCTTTAACATTGCATAGTATCGCCTAATATTTGGACATTGTGAGTTGGTGTTTTTGCTTGAGAGCCATGTGTGCTCACAAGGGCCTCTTCTGAAGCCAAGTGCACTCCTTTGCAGCCCTTGAAATAACAAAGGAACAACTCTGCTTGCTGTTTGAAGGGGTGAGGGAAACTGAGGAGGACGTGTATGCCCTGAGAACATTTCCTAACCACCCACCCCAGCCCCCGTTTAGGCCTCACACTGAAGGGAACAGATCCAGTACCCAGCACTGGTGTTGCGGGTATCAGGTTTGTGAAGGGTCGTGAGCACAGCACCCTCGGTGAGCAGCCTCCTTCTGTGGAGCTACGTCCTCGCTGACATCTTGACCAGCTGCTGTTGCTCCTCACCCTCTCTCTGCTCCTTGCTGCCGCTTGCTGCTTGCACGACAGGCCAAGTGACCATGTGCAACTGGGCTGTGTCACTTAGCGTCCTCCTCCCCATCCCTGTTTCCCGGGCCAGGGCAAGAAGCTCATGAGCCAGTGGGTTGTAGTGGCAAAGAGGAGGAGCACGCCCAGGGGACTCCTGTCGCGGGGCCCCTGCTGGGCATGCACCTTGGCAACGGCCTAACCGTGTCCACCCTGGGGAGCGACGTGCTTTCTCTGCTGGGTGCCGTCTGCTGCTGCTGTTTGCCCACAGCAGGACAGCAGCACAGATGTGCAGTCCCCTGCCCCCAGCACCTCTGGCGAGGCTGCCACAACAGGGCCGTTTTAAAGCATCTTTCCTGATCCTTCCCAAGTGCGGGAGCTTCCTCTATCCTTGTCGCTCCTTGTCATGCTTTGTAGGAGGTGAGTCAGGGAACTGGAACTCTGGTTTGGAGCAGAGCCAGGAAGACTCTGTTCCTCGGGAGAGCTCCCAGCCTTTGAGTGCCCTTTCAGTCAAGGAGGACTCCCTGGCCAGCTTGAGTGGCTAGCCCTGGGCATATTTCACGGCCTGTCGGGAAGGGGTTTAAAGCCGTATTTTCAGCCGCCCATCCCATAATCAAGAGCTGAGTCCCCTTCAGGTGAAAAGTGTCTGTGTGATTAAAGGTTCGCAGGGCCCTGATGTTGCTGGCCCCATCCTTATCCCATGATGAGACTCTAAAAACACCATTGCCTCCAAAGAAGAGGGACAGACCTGGTGCTCCCCTTTCATTGTACAGCATCGCAGGCCTAATCCTGGCGGCTCCTCCTTGCATAGAAGCAATGACAATCCTGTGCCAGACATATTGTTTTAATCTGGGCCAACAGACACTGCAGCCTTGGGAGTCACCGTTTCATGAGACCACAACAAAAGAGTTCTGCGATTCAACTTTATCCTGTAGCTCTGGTGTACAGTAGGCCTCTCCAGGAAGCTGTTCCAGCAAAATCCCCTCTGGTTCTGGTGACTCAGTGTGTGCTCTCTGGTTGCCAGCTTTGTCTCCCTAAAATGCCTGAGCCTGTGCATTACCAAGTCACCTCCTTCTCATTTCTCTCTCTTTCCAGCCAAAAAGCCTGTGTCCCCGTACAGCGGATACAACGGACAGCTGCTGACCAGTGTGTACCAGCCCACAGAGATGGCGCTCATGCACAAAGGGCCTGTACGTGAGTGTGTTGCCGTGCTGGTATTTCTTATCCTTTCACTTCATTGTCGCCTCACGTCATGGATAGCATGTGGCCAGCTTTTACTTATTTATTTAGCCTGCAGCTTGCAATAGACATGGATGTAATTGTGGAGGGAAAGAGGCTAATTTTGGGGAGACAGTTCCATGACTTGCCTTGGTGCACATTCAGAATGCTCTCAAAGACTTGGAGATCTGGGGGGCTGACAGAGCCATTTCTACTTCCCTTAATAAGCATTTGTGCCTCTTAGCAAGGCCCACCTAACATGGTGTCAGCAACCATTTCAGGGTGCTTCTTCTATCTTGGCATGACAGCCAGTGTGGCGTAGTGGTTAAGAGCATGGGACTGGGACTCAGACGACCTGGGTTCTAGTCCCCGCTCAGCCATGGAGTCAACTGGGGGACTTTGGCCAGTCACGGACTCTCAACCCAACCTACCTCACAGGGTGGTTGTTGTGGGGATAAGATGGAGGAGGAGAATGATGTAAGCTGCCTTGAGCCCCTTGTAGGAAAAAGGCAGGATATAAATCACAATGTAAATAAATAAATAAAAAATGGACACAGCAGCTGATGCATTTCTACTGTTTCTCAAGTTCTTATATATTACAGTTTAAGATCAAGATGCACCCAAACATGGGCCCTGCTTGCAGGCCACCACACTGAGGGCAACCAAGTGGAGAAGAACCACATGGTGCTCTGTAGCCCTGAGTTAGAACCAAAAGAAATGCTTACCCAATAAGAGTGATTTCTCCTAAAATGTGTCAATCTCCCTTTTGTTTCCCCTCTCTTTTTCATCCCTTGTAGAAAACATACCAAAACTTGTACTAGTTTGGTATTACTTAGAGACAACCAAAATCTGGGAAAAAACCAACAGTTTGGTGATTGGAAACAGGAATATTCAAGTCACCTCACAGCTTTTTTCACCAAATGATACTTATTTTGGCAATTTAAAAATGTTTTCTAGATGTTTGGTGCACACGCACATACACAGAGATGGTTGTTTTCATTTCCTTTGCACCTACTGCTGCCATCGGTTCTCTTCCTGGCTGCATTTTCTCTCCATTCTTCCTGGCATACCTCACGTTGTGTTTTGGTTTTGCTTCCAGTCTGAGGGCCCCTATGACGTCATCCTTCCTCGCGCCACGGCCAGCAGCCAAGTGATGGGCAGTGCCAACTCCACGATGCGTGCTGAGGATGCTTACACCCCACACAGTAAGCAGGCAATGGCACAGAGGGATGGAAAGAGTGGTCAGGTGTGTAAAAAGTATTTTGTGAACCACCCAGAGACTTCTGGCTACTGAGCAGTTCCAAATTTAATTAATAAATAAGCAAGTCCTTGGCTAGTTTCATTGTCACCTGAGAGGATGACTACATTCTATCCCAACACATTCTTTCATGGCACTTTTATTGCATCCCTCCGTTCTTCCTCTCTGAGCTGATTTATACATTGCTGCTCCCCAACCCAAACCCCGGTTTTGTAGGATCTTGCTTATGCTTAGGCATACACACTGTGGAATTCGTTACATCGCTCATATATGACTGTGGCTGAGATTGGTGTGAGGTTGTTAACTTTACATGTTTTGCAGAGCTATGCATGACTTGTACAACCGTACAACTTAAAGTGACATTATCTGCCTTTTAGTTTTACTACTTTTTCATTACCAATGCCCTGCTTGACCAATTCTCCTGTGCAGTCTAGGAGCAGAGTTCCCTCTCCCTCCTTCCCTCCCTCCCTCCCTCCCTCTCTCTCTCTCTCTCTCTCACACACACAGCTGTAGTGAGCTACTCTTAAAGAAATAGCTGTAAGAAACCTAAGGTTTTTATGTCTTCTTTTGCCTCAGGCTTCATCTCCATATAGCAAGAGCAGATGGTAGAAGCTGGAGTCTTGATTTTGGCAGGTCCCGTTCCTTGAGGGTGCCTTGTGAAACCTGCCTTCATGAAGCTGCATCTACCTAATTGGGGCGAGGCCTCAGTAAGTTGCTGAAATTTCTTCCTGGGAGCTGAGACAATGCAGTTTCTTTTTGTTACACATAGCCCAAGTGCTCTGCTTGGCCTCTGCTATAGAAAATCTGGGTCACTGTGCTGGGATGTACCTGTTTTTTTATTCTGAACAGTGGGACATCTATTCTCCTCAGAGTCTTCAATCAAGTTCTTCATAGCGCCACCTCTTCCGTGCAGCCAGCCAGCACCTTGAGAGCCTCCCTTGGTTTTGTTTTTAGTTTTTACCCCATACCTTTGATGGACTGTATTGACTCTACTGTTAAGTGTCTCATCTTCTCCCACAATCCCTCCTGTTTGTGCTGTATAAATAGGCCTCTACTTGTATTGAAAAGATCCTGCTGAGGGCGCAATTTGGCCTCTTGATGGATGAGTGGGCATCCTTGCCTTTCCACCATATTGCCAAATCCCACAAGGGAGTGTGTCGGAACGGAGAGCGGTACTGTTCCAGCTCCTCTTCATGGCAGCCATAGAGACAGACACCTGTCCCTCTGCGGCGAGAGAGACTTGCCAAGCACAGAAAGAACCCTTGGGCATTTATTAGCGCTGCGGTAAGCTCTCTCAGCCTGCCTCCTCCCTCTGGACCAGGCCCTGGAGTGCGACAACCTCGTGCTGCTCCCAGAATCCTTAGCGTTTCTGCCCATGCTGCCCCTGCCCTCACAACACAACTCAAGGCAGCGTGAAGAAGTGGAGAAGGCTTGTCGCTCTCTCTGGAAGGCAACAAGGGGGCTGGTGCTGCCTTTTCTTGTGGGCAACCTCGCAACAGTCTCAGTATGCACGTGCCACACTTTTGAAACACTGGCGATGGATTGGTGCCATCCCCAGAATGTGCAGGTAGCCCCAAATGGTGGGGAAGCAGAAGCTATAGGACTGTTGCACAGAGTACCAAATGCTACCTCCTAGTTCCTGTGCCGTGTGAGGGTTGTGAGGAAGCCATGACGTTTGCCTGCCTGCCGGCCTGCCACAGTTCACTGTGTCGTCCCAAGGGCCCTCTCCCACTTCTCCCCGCTGCCCCATCATCCTGCCAAGAGCTCCCCTGACTGCCTTGGTCAGATGCATGAAATGTGCACTTCAGCTGGTGGACTTCTGACTACGCTACCTGAGGATGCTGAGAGTTGTAGTCCCACGCACCTGGAGGGCACCAGGCTGAGGGAAAGAAGGCGGTCTGGACAGGGGAGAGCAGCCGGGGTGGGGCAAGTCTTTACAAAGGCCCAGCCGAACAGAGATGGGTGTGCCACATAACCACACACAGGATGACACCCTTGAACTGGAATGCCTTTGTAGGGTTGATTCTGTGGGCTTAAGGGCAGCTGGGAGCAGCTGGCTGGCCACAGGAAAGTAATTGCCCCTCCTTAGGCCTCACTCATCTTGCTTTACCTCTTTCTCATCAATTGGGAATGGGACACACCCACCCAATCTTTCACTGGATCTCTTATCTTTTGTGCTGCGCATTTTAGAGTGACACACCTCTCTCTTGCTTTTGCTGGGCTTCCTGGCTCCTGTCTGTCTGTCTGATTTTCTCTTTCTCTCCTGCATGTACACACATGCACCCACCCCCCACGGCTTCTCTCTGTTCCCAAATATAAATTTTCCAACTGAGGATAACACATCTTACATCTTATGCCACAGTAAACCTCTTAAATCTTCAAGGTACCCTCCAGCCCTGCCTTTCTCTAGCAGCCATGCTGTTGCACTTTCCCTGCACACCTTTGTGCACCAGTCCTTGGGCTGTGGCCTGAGGTCCCACCATCCTGATGTGTCACCTCCTCCCCTCCCCTCCCCTCCCCTCCCCTCCAAGGGGGGTGCTGTTTCTCTCCTGAGTACAAGAGGGACAGGGGCTCTATAGCTGGGGGTCAGGCTGAAGAAGTCGGATGAGGAAGCATCACACACTCCTGCCAATGTGTTTAATCCGTCCTTTCCTGGCCTGCAGACGGGCACGCACAGCACCTTTGGGAGAGGAGCCCTCGATTTATCTTACGCTCTCTGTGAAGGCTGGTGCTTTACCGGGGTGGGCAACTTGTGGCCCCCAGGTAGTCCCACACTTCAGCGCCATGGGAGTCGCAGTCCGACAGCTGGGAGTGCTGGGCTGGGACTGAGGAGATCCAGGTTGGAGTCCCCGCTCAGCCATGAAGCTGCCTGGATGGCCTTGGGGTCGCCATGGCCACTCAGCCTAACCTACCGCCAGAGTCCGCCTTATCTTTCTGCTCCGAATCAGGCAGGGCCCATCTGTGCTCACTCAGGTGGGGAAGAGACATGCAGCAAACTGTGATTTCCGCCTGCTCGGGCTGGGGCTGCAGGCCCGCGCCTGGCTCTGCCTGCATGCCTCTCCTGTGTGGGTGAGACATTCTCTGCAGACAGAGATAACCGGGCGTGATGCGATCTTTTTGCTTTTGTGCCAGCTGTGAGTGATCTGCAGGAAGAGCTGAGGAGGAATGTGAGTGTGAGACTGTTGTGCTTAATCCAAGTTATTTAAGTGGGGGTGGGGAAAGGAAGTGCGTTCTTCAAGGACTTGGCTTTTCTAGTCCAGAGTTATCTGACAAATTAAACTTGTTTTTTTTTCCTAAATGCTATGGCTTCCTCATATTCTTTTGTTGAGTTTGGGGATGAGTGTGGAGGGATAAGGGGAGCTCCTGTTTCCCCACCCCTTCTGGATTTGCCTGTTTTCTGACCCCCTCCCCCTTGCTTCAGCTGCCTCGTAGAGCTAGGAAATAAATCCCAAATCCCCAATGTCAGAGCTTTTGTTTCAACAGTTTCCCCTAAAGGAGCACCCTCCAGATGTTTTGGGAAACAACTCCCATCAGCCCTAACCACTGGGGCTAATGGGAGTTGCAGTCCAAAACACCTGGAGGGCATCAGATTTGGGAAGGCTGCTTTTACACAGTAATCATTTGTCAGACAAAGAACAGAGCACAGCAACCCTTCTTCCCACTCAAGCCAGTCTCCATGTTCCACATCAGCAGTGGTGCTCTGCATCAGCTTTTGCACCTTCTGGGTGCCTTAGATTACAGCTCCCATTATCCCCAGGCCAGCATGGCCAAGGATCAGTTGCAGCCTAGAACATTTGCAAGGCACCAGGGAGGTGAAGGCTGGATTGATGCCCCACTTTCATTTCTTAAGTCTTGGAGAAATAAGCCAACTGCTGCAACATTGTCCTTCTGAAGTGTGCCACAGCGTTCCTACCCACAAGTGTGGACTGAAATGAAACCCTGGAAGGGGGTTCTGCTACCATGCATAGTGTTCTGGCATTCAAACTGGGTGCCGGGTGCCTACCAGGGGCTGCTGGAGTCACCCTCTCTGCAAGGAACTGAAAGCCAGCAGCAAAAAAACCCTGCTAGCCAGAAAGTTCCAGAGGTTGGGAGCCAGGTGATCAGGGAAAACCAGTCCTCCTCCTCCTCTGCCTATAAAGCACCAAGGCCACATCCCAACCTGGAGCCCTCCAGCTGGGTTGGATTACATTCCCAGCCTCCCCCAGCCAGTAAAATCTCAGTGCCTGCCAACACCAGCTAAAAGCATTGCATAGCAGATGGTGGGAAGATCCTCTGCCCGCCCCCACAGTCTCACCTGAGAGAAGGCAGCCTCCTTCCCCGCCCCTCCACTTGCCTTCCTGATGCCTCGTCAGGTCCCATGCTTAATATTTTGCTTGTTTGTGGACTTTGAGTCCAGCTGTGCCCTGCAGCTGAGCCGTGGCCTTGGAATGAGTTGCTTGCCTTTTCTAAGAACACCACACTTGCGTGGCTCCTCTGTTGCCGTGGCCAGAGCTGAATGAGAAGTCTGGCTCAAGGGGGGCATTTCTCCCTACGTCGTGCAGGATTTAATCTGGTCTAATCCAGAAGGGCTCTTACACTTCTATGACTGGCAGACATCTTAGCTTACATAGACATTGCTCAGACTAGAGCAAGCAACTTACTTACTTATTTTCATTTCTATGCTGCCCCATAACCGGAAGGTTCTCTTGGTGGCTAGATAAAGATATGGTGCTCAGGAGTTTCTCCATGGGCCAGAAATATGGAAGTTCTCAAGCCCATTGGTTTTAATGTCCATATCCCTGGAGTTCATGTCCTTGTGTAACTTTTGGGAGTTTTTTTTTGAAAGCTTGGGGTTGTTTTTTAGCAGTCCCAGGCTAAAACTGCATTCTGGTTTTTGGCATAAAACTCATGTTGGTTTCTCTTCAGGACATTTTTGTTGCACTAAAAGCACTTTTGTTGATATTTCCTGTGTCTGTAATATAAATATATTTATGGCAAACAATTACACCCTGCCTTTCCCCCTAAAAATTACAGTAGCTAAATATTTAAAATGCACAATAAGGAAGGAAAATCCATCAACCACTCCGTGACAACAGGAACAAAAAATAGCAATCCTGTGCCAGTAGCAGTGGCAATAATGTGATGCTCAGATGCCTCTGCCTTAGAAAGCCAGCTGAAACAGAAACATACTATTTATTTCACGGAGGGAAAAATCAAGCATGTGTATTTATGGAGATAAAAAGGAGGCGGCAGCATCCATTTCCAAGACTAACCATAAAGTGTGGCAAGCTGAGAAGAGCTGCAAAACTATGGCTTGAAGCATGCCAGTTTGTGATGCCTCGTGCATTTTGAGCGAAAAACAAGAAATATCCTTTATGTCTGATGTCTCATGTTGTGTTTAAAATGTGCTTTGCGTGATAGCTAATTTTCCTGGGGGTGTTTGCATCCCACGGGTTGAATCCAGCATTGGTCCTGCAAGTTCCATTCCTTTCAGTAGGTCTCCTTTGAGTGGGACTTGCATGGCTGGCAAGACTAGGGTTCTTCAAGAATTCAGCCCTGGGCGGGAGGCTGTATTCAGGCCCGGTGCTGCATCTCCTGACCAGAGAGCCTCCCCTTTGCTGCAGTTCCCCCCTGCCGCTCAGGAAGCAGCAGCCTGAGCAAACAGCAGCCCCATGAATTATTGAGTGCTTGAAGTGCCTCGGCCTGTGGCTGGTGGAGGCTCCATGACCTCCATTCCTCCCTGAGGCAGGCTGAGGAGCACCGTGTGGCTTCCAGGCGCGGGCGCTCAGCTACTCTGCCTTGCCGTGCCGTGCCTGCAAAGGCCTGTGCATCTTTCGACGGGCCCTCTGGAAATGGCTTTTCCTGCTCCAGGCAACAAGGCGAGCCTATCTGAACCACCGTGAGATGGAAGATGGGGTCATCTGGGCACATTTCAGGAATGAGCTGCTCTTTCCTGAGGAACAGGGGTGTCCCTGCTTGCCCCTGGGGTGGCAGACTCCTGGCTTGAACCGTCACTGCCCTGAGGCCCCCGCTTCAGGGCTGCCCAGCCTCAGATGCATTAGAACCGCTCTTGAGGTGACCTTGTCCTGGTTACACAGTAACTACTTTCTGAGGGAACTTGCTGGCAGGTCCCAGATAAAAGAGCCAATATTTGCTCTGATGTAGCCTTCCCCAGCTTGGTGCCAACCAGGAGTTTTGGACTGTATTTTCCAGCTTGCCTGAGTATTGGCCATGCTGACCTGGGCTGAGGGGCACTGAAGTCCAAAACATCTGGAAGGCACTGAGTTGGGGAAGGCTGGTCTCACTGATTTGAAGACTGGATTAACGGGCATGAGAGACGGCCTCATAATGGTTGCTTGTTACCCTTTTTTTCAGCTCTGCTCCCTCTGCCTTCAAAGCAGCCTGCTAAACAAGCAGGAAAAGCTATTCACTCGGCACCATGCCAGAGAAAGTTTCCTCTGTTAAATTTCTAGAAGTATCAGGCTGCTGTGAAGGAAACAAGAGCAGCTCTTCATGAGTCCAGGTGCTGCAAATTCCTGTAATAACACTTTCCTTGGCTGCACTTCCACCAGGTTCCTCCTACTTGCTCCACCCAATGAAATCCTCACTAGTGGTCACAGTGTCTAAATGAAGCATACGAAGCTGAATCCAACCTTTGGTCCATTTAGCCCACTATTGCTGACACTGACTGGCAGCAGCTGTCCAGGGTTTCAGGCAGGATATTTTTCAGCCTACCTGGAGATGCTGGGTCTTGAACCCAAGACTTCTACATGCCAAGCAGGTAGGTCTGTAGATCAGGATCTACCTCTGATCTACAGACCTTTCCAAGGCTCCATTTGAAGAGACAGATTAGTGAATTATAGAATATTAGAGTTGGGAGGGCCAACACCCTGCTGTTGCAGGACACCAAGTTACACCATCCTATTTAGATGACTGTCCAAACTTTCTGCTTTCAGAATGTCTCAACGACGGAGAGCCTACAGGTAGAAAAACAGTCCTACAAGATAAAATGTGGATGATCTATGCATTACAGGAGTGAAGCCCCAGTGCTCTGAATGACCCCCTCCCCATCTCCATTTGGCTTCTTTACCATTATAATCAGACAAGCATTTGATAGAAACTGGCTATATGTGAAGGGATGTAGGAAACTCTGTGGGAACATCTTCCAGCTGCTATGGTAGGGGTGTAGGCATGGAGGCAACCTTGCTAGGGGTTCTTGAATTCAGGACAATTTGATCTGCAGAGTTGCTCAGACAACTTGACAACCCACACTGAAATCTGGGTTGAGTGTGGGTTGTCATTGAACCACTTATTGTCTTTAAAAAGTGTTATCTGAAGCTAACCATGATAACAACCCACAGTTTGTTAACCATGAACAATGCAATCAGTTTGCAAACCAATCGCAAACCATGGATTCTGTTCATGGAAAGTATCTAATCTAACCCCTGTTCAGCGTAGGTATGATATTACACATTAGTCTATAATAAATCCTAAATTCTCTACTATGTTTTGTTATTTTGAAACCATTATCCCTAGTCCTTTCCTAAAGAAATAAACTGCATTAAATTACTCCAGTGCACATAATCATTGCAAGAACACAGCTAAACTTCTAGATCTTTCTCAACAAGCTGATAATGTATAGCACACCAACCCATCAGCAAGTAGATTCATGCCATATTATATACCCAATCACTACAGTGTATTTTTCCTGTGTCACCTGGAAAATTTCTGCACATCGAGATGCTCTTTAAAAGAAACTTTTTAAAAGTTGAAAACCCTATCAAGTCATGTGCCCCCAAATTATTTCTTTGATCCCTGCAAATTCAAGGGGTAAGTTTGCATAACTGCTCCATGCCACAAATGGTTTTGTGTTTGGTGCTAAACATGACGCTGATTCCTGGAGCCTCTGCAAATATTTAACCAGTTGCACTGTTGTCAGGCCAAACAGACTTCAGGCCAAACCCCACTTAATCTCTCTTTTATTGCTGGCTTTGTTGCTGGAACAGATGGATCCCAAGGCAAAGCGAAGGGAATTGGGCATTGGGAACAAAGAGTGTGCCATTTCTTTTTCAGCCATGCTGTCCTTTCTCACAGCTATTGCTGCTCCAAAAACAATCATCCAATCCTGCATTTATAATTGGCATGCCACAGCTCTTTTCTCTGGGATGTGATGGAGACTAGGAGGCTAATAGGGATAAGGGTACCTGCCATGGAGCGGGTCTATAGAGTTGGGGGCTTTTCTGCACAAGTCAGTTATTGTGCATTCATGATCCCTCACTCACGGAAGTCTGTGGGTCCTTTGCACAACATTGT